CTACACAGTATCGATTTTTTCCCCACCCCTACTGTACAACCTCGTTTCCTATCCAGATACAAAACTAGTGAAAAACAGTCAGAAAAGATGATCATTAACTCTAAACCAGCTAAAACTGATTAACACCCGCCTCTAATACATAACTAAATAAATATCAATAATCAAAAGAAGGAAAATGGATACAGGTTGCCATGTACACAAAATTCAAAGTATGCCACTGTAAACTGAAGATGCAAACCAAGGTGCCGTCCTCTCTGTTCACCGTCTTGCTAACTGGATAACTCTACAACTACTGAGAGGAACTATAATACTTGCATAAATATTCTGGAGTGTATTAATGTTAATTATTAATAAGGTTTACTGATGTTTATGCAGGTGTGTATAAGATATTTATTTACCTGCTCTTTTGCTGAGGACCTCCACCACTGAAGGGGGGAAAAAGCCCACCCGGTCTGTCCCCCGCTGGGTGTCGTGGATGTGACCTTTCCACCGGCCGTCTGAGTGCTGCTCCAAGACCTGTCAGCAAGAAACCAAGAGAACACTTCATTACAAACGGCATTAGTCTCGATATACTTCACAATCCCAGCAATTGATACAGTTATATGAACACTATGGGCGTTGATTAAAACAAAAAAATGCTATGTGTTTGCAAAAATACAAGAGCTTTAAGCATGCATGTTGTGTGCGACACCCACAGGCATGCACTTAAGTCCATAATGAGTGGGCCAGTAGGCTGGAAATACACTATCTATTCATTGTGAGTATTAGCAAAGCGCCTCGAGAGAAGAAAAACAAACACCTCTGCTTTCTGGCAGAGTGAGAGACAACAGCATACAAGTTCAAACACAACTCTCAGATGTCACTATGACTCACAGAAATATATCAAAACACACAGCAGAGAGCACATAAAGACATGCACACACGAATTAGAGCAAACTGTGATAATGATGCTGATAATGAGAGACACAGCAGCAGCAAGTTTGTGCCTGTTCCTCTGCTGTGGTCTCCTGCTTTGGAGTACATGAAAGTACCCTGAAACATACCACACAAATCCTAACAACAAGGCTTCACTATAACTTCACCTAACAAATTCATCTCATTTTCTCATCTCAATCAAGCCGATTCTGATGTTGGTGTTGGCTCTTATTTGTAAGAATTATATATGTCAGCATGTACAAACAAATAAACATTTTTATAATAAAATAAATGATTAAACTTCTCTTCCTTAAACAATTTGCAAAATCTTACCAAACAAAAACTGCTGCTACTGATTTATAAAAACAAATGTCGGTTACATTTTTAAATTCATTAAACAAGGAAATCTTCTTCTTTCATAATTTTCCCAGGAAATGAATAATAATGACTGTTATAAATGTGATATTAGGGATTTTCAAATTAACTTCATTTAATTACATTTTTCTATAAACGAGGACAATGAAAATAATGAACAAAAACAACATGACAACCATAAAACAACATTTTGAGACTTTTACACACAAAACAGTACCATGATCAGATCTCCCGCTCGCAGGTTAAGTGCAGTGGGATCATGGAGATTCCAGTAGTCCTTCACTGCTCTAACTTGAAGAGAGCTTGATGCTTCTGCAAAAGAAAGAAAAAGAAAGAAAGAAACACCTGATCACATTT